GAGTTGGTCCAATGATAGTCGTGTTTGGTCCAGTTGTAGTTGGTCCAGTAAGAATTGTGGTTGACCCAATTGTAGTTGGTCCAATGATAGTCGTGGTTAGTCCAGTTGTGGTTGGTCCAGTGATACTTGTGGTTGACCCAGTCGTAGTTGGTCCAGTGATAGTTGTGGTTGATCCAGTTGGAGTTGGTCCAATGATAGTCGTGGTTGATCCAGTTGGAGTTGGTCCAATGATAGTCGTGTTTGGTCCAGTTGTAGTTGGTCCAGTGGCAGCCGTTGTGGACCAAGTTATAATTGGCTCAGCGCTACTTGTGGTTGACCCAGTTGTAGTTGGTCCAGTGATAGTTGTGGTTGACCTAGTCGTGGTTGGTCCAGTGATAGTCGTGATTGATCCAGTTGTAGTTGGTCCAGTTGTAGTTGGTCCAGGAATAATTGTGGTTGACCCAGTCGTAGTTGGTCCAGTGATAGTCGTGGTTGGTCCAGTTGTAGTTGGTCCAGTGATACTTGTGGTTGACCCACTTGCAGATGGTGTAGTAATAATTATGAGTGGCTTGGTAGGTACTATTCCCAAATAAAAACCCAGTGTCAGTCAAGTAGAAATGTTACGTATTAACAAGACAGAAGAATTTACAAACATCTGTCTTTTTATCTCCAGGTGAGAAAAAAGCATTAAAAACACAGGCCTACACCCAGTGTCTAAAGCAAAGTTTTTATGTTTAACATCCTCTGCATAAGTGACTGAGTATCACCTGGCCTCTTATTTCATTTAACTGAATTGTCTTTTACCTTCTGTTTCTCCATCTTAAGGCCTCTCTATACTAACAGCTGTATGTTGCACACTGTGTAAGTTTTTCTCTCAGCATTTAGCACATGCTGAGGTACAAGTCTGTCAACTACGTTCTTTGAAGTACTTCTTTGAAGTACACTCTGTAGGGCCTTTATTCTGTGCACCATTCTGCACATCTTTGTTGTTGGAGTTTGATGCAGCTACTACTGATATTACTATTAAAGTATAATACATGAACAACTCATAGAAAACATTTCTTGGAATTTAAAAAAGAAAATAATATATAATAGGTAATACATACTACATGTGACACTTCCATTGGTACAGTAACTGAAAAAAATACACATGTATAATCATTAACCAAACATATCAGCAAATTCAGTATATGTAATTTAATTAAGTATGATTACAGCCACATTTCTTACCAGCTCATGCCTGGGACACTTATTTGTGCACCGGGGAGAATAACAGCATTATTCCAGTAACATGTGCAGTGTGACAAAGAGGAACATTTTCTTCTGTTCTCATCGAAATATGGCAGATTT